ACTTCCTAAACTTGATGCCAGGCAAATCTCATTCTTTCTCTGGGGAGGATATACTTCAACATTCCTGCTATAAATTAAATGGTTTGGATGAGTTTACAAGATCATTTAGAGACAATCGACATTATATAGTTTTGTACACACACACACACAAACACACACACACACACTGCAAAAAGGAAATACTGAGAGTGAACAAGAATCCCGAGGCTGAATCCCAGGGAGGAACTTCTGTGAGGAAGAATGGCAGTCAGAGGGCACAACACAAACTCAGGCAGCGCTCTGCATCTCTACTTTGAAGTCCAGGCCCACCAAGAAATTAAAACATAAATAGAGAAAAATCATATAGCAGTGGGGGGAACCTGAAGTTTTACATGCCCATTTATTATTATTATTATTATTATTTTTTGCTACAGCCTCCCTTCCTTTAACTTTAGTTGATAAACGGAGGGATTCAGTCTTCTGAATACACATGGGAACTTGTGTACCTACCTATAACCCAACCTAAAACTGATGAAAACCAAAACCATTTCAAATAGACTTCATGAAAGGCACTCTCAAAGAGCAAGAGCTTGACCGAGTGTGAGCGGAGAGCCCCTGGACTCGAGAGGGAAGTCTGCTGTTCACTGTTGTGTCACTATCACAGGTGTCCACTCATTATTGGCTGAATGACTGACTCAATTATCATAGACGCAGGGCAAGTTCCATCATTTCCAGCTCACGGACGAGGAAACAGCACTGCAAGGTTCTGAGTGTGGCCCACGTCTACCCTGGTGCCATCTAGTGACCCTGGAAGTCCAGATGAACTGGCTGGAGCAGCCTGCCCAGGCCCAGTCATATGGGCAGACCCTCTCTTCCCGGGGGCAAAGCAGGGCTGAGAAGGAGGATAACTTTGCTCTTTAGATAATCCCCGTCTCTCTCTTGCCTCCTCTCATTTAGCACCTTTGTGTTTCTTTCTTACGAAGTGGTTTTTTTTTTCCATCAATGATTGACCGGCTAAAGAAAATGTCACACATATACACCACAGAATATTATGCAGCCATAAAAAAGAATGAAATCATGTCCTTTGCAGGGACATGAATGAAATGAAGTTACTGTTCTCAGCAAATTAACACAGGAACAGAAAACCAAACACTGCATGTTCTCACTCATAAGTGGGAGCTGAGCAGTGAGAACACATGGACACAGTGAGGGGAACAGCACACACCAGGGCCTGTTAGAGGTTGTGGGGCGAGAGGAGGCTAATGCATGCGGGGCTTAAAACCTAGATGATAGGTTGATAGGTGCAGCAAATCACCATGGCACATGTATACCTATGTAATAAACCTGCACATTCTGCACATGTATCCCAAAACCTAAAGTAAAAAAAAAAAAAAAAAAAAGTGGGTTTTCTCTCTGGTTTTCCATTATGTTCAGTAAGCTCCTTGCCATCAAATTCTAGAGCTTTAAAGAAAGGCCACAAAGATTCACCTTTGGATTAAAAACAAAATAAACTCTTACCTCACAACACACAAATCACGTGAACGTTAACTGACAGCAAACATCTAGTATTCTAAAGAAAAAACACCAAAAGAAACAACAGGCAAAAAACACCTCTGTGGCTTTGTCAAGAAACTTGTCTGAATATCTGAATATATTTTATTGCACTTTAGGTTCTGGGGTACATATGCAGAACATGCAGGATTGTTGCATAAGTACATACATGGCAATGTGGTTTGCTGCCTCCATTCCCCTGTCACCTATATCTGGCATTTCTCTCCATGTTATCCCTCCCCAACCTCCCTACCCACTGCTGTCCTTCCCCTATTCCCCCCCAATAGACCCCAGGGTGTGATGCTCCCCTCCCTGTGTCCATGTGTTTTCATTGTTCAACACCTGCCTGTGAGTGAGAACACGTGGTGATTGATTTTCTGTTCTTGTGTCAGTTTGCTAAGAATGATGGTTTCCAGATTCAACCATGTCCCTACAAAGGACATGAACTCATCATTCTTTATGGCTGCGTAGTATTCCATGGTGTATATATGCCACATTTTCTTTGTCCAGTCTATCATCGGTGGGCATTTCGGTTGGTTCCAGGTCTCTGCTATTGTAAACAGTGCCGCAATGACCGTCAATGTGCATGTGTCTTTATGATAGAAAGATTTATAATCCTTAGGGTATATACCCAGTAATGGGATTGCTGGGTCAAATGGGATTTCTATTTCTGGGACCTTGAGGAATTGCCACACTGTCTTCCACAATGGTTGAACCAATTTACACTCCCACCAAAAGTGTAAAACTGTTCCTATTTCTCCACATCCTCCCCAGCATCTGTTGTCTCCAGTTTTTTTTTAATGATTGCCATTCTAACTGGTGTGAGATGGTATCTCAATGTGGTTTTGATTTGCATTTCTCTAATGACCAATGATGATGAGTATTTTTTCATATGTTTCTTGGCCTCATATATGTCTTCTTTTCAAAAGTGGGCAAAGTACATGAATATTTGAATATTAATAGCCACATTTATCCCATATTTGCAAGGCAAAAAAATAAATTATAGCAACTAAACAGAGAGAAAAGAATGAATTATTACCTGAAAGTGGCTACTGCTACTTCATGAAGCTATCAACAGTCAAATAACTATGTAGTCTATTCTTTCTTGTGCCTTAGCTGTAACCGAGAAGAAAACTCTCTTGGAAAAAAAAAAACCGAGAAATTAGGAGGAATACACTTTGATACACAGCTTGAAGATGCCCTTTCTGCTTCACTATGATGGCAGTGCAAGGAAATGTGCTAGCAAATGGTTCAAATGTCCTTCGACACCAGACTTCACCCCTTACTTGTATTTCACTTATTTGTTACTTCTCTTCCTCCTCCCACTCACTTGGACATTCACCAACAAATATTTTTTAAGCATTTGCCTCAGTTCTGCCACAGGTGTAAGGAGGGAAACAGGAGTGAATGTGAGCAAAAGGTGACTTCAGCCACTGTAGGGACAGCGCTCAAGGGGCGGTGAGTTTTTCAAAGGCTATGAAAATGTTCAAGACCTCAAAATAATTAGTTGGCTCCAAAATGAAAAAGAAACCATAAAATTAAAAGTAATAAACCTTTAACTATCTATGAAATGTACCATGTCAACTATTTGTAACTCAACTTGCATATATGATGATATATATTATACATGGGATCTGTGGGACAGATATAAGGTTGCATATGTTTTAATGTACTTGATATAAGGGCAGGGCTTTCAAAAGTAAAAGTCCACCAAGGTCCTCAAATGTCCCCACTCATGTGGGCAGGACATCGGTCCTCTCCGAGGCACACACCAATCACCAAGACTGCCTGTGACATACTGAAGAAAGTCACATCCCCGAGCCTCAATTACCTTATGAAAGCAAACAGAAGCCATGGACCTCAGGGCAGTTTTGAGAACCACATTTTAAAAAGTACATTGGAAAGTACTGCATAAGCTCGCAGAGATGAAAGGTAAAAGTATTAACTCCTTACATCTTTATTCCTCCAGGTGGTGAATGCCTCTCGCTATGTTTGATGCTACACACCTGCTACTGTGTAGCAGAAGAGAAACGAATCTCTACCAGAGCCTAAAAATAAGGCTGCTTCAGTGCCCTCTGGCAGCCAACAGATGTTCATGACGGACAAATTCACACACAAACCAGGATGCTTCATGTACAGATAAAACTTGGTTCATATCATGAGATTCCAGACAAGGTTAAAAGGAGGAGAAAAGCTTATTTTAGTAGAAAATGAAACCATTTTTCAATTAGTGTCCCTTCTAAGCAGACACCACCTTCTATTTACCCTAAGAATGAGAAGCTGGAGACTGCTCTTCAATTCAGTCTTACTTCTCTCTTTTGTTGACACTTTATGAAACACCTTGATTCTCCCAGCTAGCAACAATAGTAGGTAAAAGGGGAAAAGACATTCAATCCTGGAAAGAAACGATCACGTAACACAGCACGGAAATATATCCTAAGAGGTCCTGTGATTTTATTCTTTGTCGTTTTTCTCTTTTCCCTTTGCTTCTTCATGGATGACCGTTTGGGGAGGGGGTGGGAGAAGGCTGGGGTGATGATGTGACCAGGTTAAAAGTAGACCAGGACATAAAATAGAAAATTAAGGAGGGAGCACAGTTATAAACTTCTGGAAATAGAAACTGACTGCTTCTAATGTGTTACCCGGCACCCTAGAGCCTCCGTCTGAGTTCAAGATTTCCTTTGTGCCTCACCACAGGATGTGTTAAGATGATATACGGTGTGTTTAAATAAAACAAGAAAACAAACCAAGAAAAATTTAGCATTATAAAGAATGAAAGTCTACTAAAAATACTCTAAAATGACTTCAAACATGAAGTCACATTTTAAAAATGACTTTTTAAGACTTAGGCATAAGTGACTCAAAAACATATGGATTAAATTTCCTTCAAAATGCATATGGTTTTAACAACTGGGGGAGACTAGCTTGGTTTGCAGAACCCAGCTCTGAAAAGGAAAGGGGTATGTCTGACGGTACTCATGTTAGCATCATTTTCTGGTGCTTTCTTCGGGGACGGAGTCAATTGGTTATAATGGCTATTACCTAGGAAACTTGGAACAGCTTCCTGGGACATGGTTTAATTCCTGTTCCCTATTTAGGCAAAGTATTCAACATGTTTATAATAAATGACTCTCCCTCACCTCTAATATCTCAAGCATCAAAAACAGTTCTACTTCTGTATTTAAAAAAAAAATGTGGAGCTGTCTTAGCCCAGAGCAAATGGCTAGTGCCTCTTTGTGACAACTGGGCACAGACTATAGACAGGGATGTTTTTCATTCTTTGAGTCCGTTAGGAACTAAGGTCAAGAGAATGTCATCTTTTTTTTTTTTTTTTCTTAAAAACACATATTTTGGACAAACCCTGCAACAATCCGGCTCTGTTTTACAGGCCAAGCCTTTGGTTTTCATCACACCAACCTCACTCTCACGAATGCTACTGTCACCACCACCATGACTATAAAACACTTCGGTGTCCCGACCTGGGAAGAGTGCCTTTTAGTTGGTAATGCCCATCTCACATCAGCGAGAGACAAAGCAACCCCTTGTTTATCCCTGCTTGGCTTTTGGCCTGTGCCCATGCCTGGTTCATGCCTTGGACACATGGATAGAGGAAGGGAAGGAAAAGGAGGGGAGGGGGAGGGGGGATGAGGGGGAAGGCGGGAGGTGAGAGTGAAGGGGGAGGAGAGAGGGAGGGGAGGAGGAGAGGAGTGGGAAGGGGGAGGAGGAGGGAGGGAAGGGGAGAGAGAGAGAGCCTTAGCATTCACAGTGTTTACTGTTTCCAAAAGGTACCCTCAAATACCAACTCATTCCATTTTAGAGGACAGTTATGACAAGTACTGAACCCAGTTCTTAGATGAGGACACTGAGAGCTGAGGTTCAGGGAAAAGCCTATAGCAACAACCAGTCACTCTGCAAACACTGATTTTACTTTCATGTCTTGGCTTGTTTTGTTTCCTTTGGTTAATTTTTTTTTTTTTTTTTTTTTGAGACGGAGTTTCACTTGTTACCCAGGCTGGAGTGCAATGGCATGATGTCGGCTCACGGCAACCTCTGCCTCCTGGGTTCAGGCAATTCTCCTGCCTTAGCCTCCTGCGTAGCTGGGATTACAGGCACGCGCCACCATGCCCAGCTAATTTTTTATATTTTTAGTAGAGATGGGGTTTCACCATGCTGACCAGGATGGTTTCGATCTCTTGACCTCGTGATCCACCTGCCTCAGCCTCCCAAAGTGCTGGGATTACAGGCATGAGCCACTGTGCCCAGACCAATTTTTTTTTTTTTTTTTTGGTTGGGATGGAGTCTTGCTCTGCCACCAGGCTGGAGCACAGTGGCGCAATCTCGGCTCACTGCAACCTCCGCCTCCCAGTTCAAGCTATTCTTCTGCCTCAGCTTCCCCAGTAGCTGAGACCACCGGCTAATTTTTTGTATTTTTATTAGAGACGGGGTTTCACCATGTTGGCCAAGATGGTCTCGATCTCTTGACCTCGTGATCCACCTGCCTCGGCCTCCCAATGGTTATTTTTTAATCCTTAATGCCAACTACCCCACTTAAAAGTTTCCCATTTTCAAGGGTCAGAACAAATGCCACATTTTTCAAGAGAAAGTGCCCAAACATTCTATATCCAAGTGTGATGCTCTTTTTTATGTGTCAAGTGGGCTAGAATGTTATCTCTAGTTACTCAAATAAACACTAATCAGGGTGCTGCTGTGAAGGTATCTGATAAATGTGATTAAAGTCCATAATCAGCTGACTTCAAGGGAGATTATTTTAGATAATCTGGATGAGCCTGATTCAATCAGTTAAAAGGCCTTAAGAGCAGACCTGAAGAAATTCTGCGTGTGGACTGCAGCTTTGGCCATGCCTGAGAATTCCAGCTCACCCTTCTTGATGGACTGCTCTACAGATTTTGTACTTGCCTGGTCAGCCTTCATAACTGCATAAGCACTTCATTGCAATAGCTCTTAATACATATTTTCACTGGTTTTGTCTCCTGATTGAACCTTAACTGATAAACCAGGTAATATGCCCTCTTTGTTCCCACAGTTTATGCAACTTTTACACCATTTCCAGCTTAGTGCTGCTGGTACTTTAACTTCTTTGTAGGTAGGCTCATGTCTCACATCTTTGTAAACCACACAGCACTAAATGTTTGCTGCAAGAATCACATTATTTTATGCAAGAGCAGGACGGAGGGTACTTCACCCTCCTGTGAGATACATAAAACTCATACAAAATGCTCGTGGAGAGAGAGCCATAGTTAGCAAGAGAGAGTCATGGCCTTCGAAGTAATTTTACTGAGGAAATGTTACTGTCACCTACCAACAGGCTACAGAGTTTCTCTTCATTGTACAGGACAGTCCTGTGTATGCAGGGTATCTGATATTCCCGGGCCCCTGGCACTGAATGACTATTATATCCCCTTCACCCTGACTCCTATCATTTCAACAACTCAAAAGCCCTCTCACACACATATTAGCAAATGCCTCTTGGGGGTATGGATACATTACACCCATCTCTAGTTAAGAATTCACTTCTTTCCATTGCAACAATTAAAATTTATCAAGCTACAGAGAGAAAAGTTACTACAATGACTTCTGTAACAAGTTGTAGAATTATGGATCAGAAAAGTGGGATTCCGCTAATAGGTTATCATGAATGCCAAAAAGCCATCACATGCATCAAGTTACAGGTGGGATAAGAATTCTTAACTTCAGATATTTTATTCAGGCAAATTTATATAATCTCTTTATTAATTCAACAAGTACTTAACAGCCCTCCTATGAGCGAGACACAGTTTTGTTACCAATCATGGGAAAAAAGGTAGGAAGATTTTCGTGAAGTGGGGAGGGTACATTTGGGATATCCTGACTTGAAATATTTGTTAAGAGGGATTTACGGAATTTACTCTTGGAAACTGGGGCCACCTCACAAAGAGGTGTTCTATCTTCTACAACAGGTTCTCAGACATTTCCAGACCTGCATCACAGCATCATTAGGGAATCTGTTAGAAAAGCAAATTTTCAGACACCCTCCCAGAACCACTAAATCAGGAGCTCTGAGAGCGGGAAACAGCAATGGTTCTCAAATTTTAGTGTACAACAGAATCACCTGCAGAGCCTATTAAAACACAGAATCCTGGGTCTCACTCCCAAAGCTTCTGGTGTGGCAGATCTCCCATGCTCCCAACCACTCCACCCCACCCCACTCTCATCTCTACCAAAAAAATAAGATAAAAAATAAAAAGGCTGTGGTGGTCTATGCCTGTTGTCCTGGCTACTCAGAAGGCTGAGGTAGGAGGACTGCTTGAGCCCAGGAGTTTGAAGCCAGGGTCCAAAAATTTGCATTTCTAACAAGATTCCAGGCAACACTTTGAGAATCAATGCTTTAGATCTGCACGAATACAATGGACACCAGGCACACATAGCTATTTGAATTTATGTAAATTAAAATTATGTATAGCTAAAAAACTCAATTCCTCAGTTGTACTGAGTTATATTTATTTCTACATCCTACTATCCATTTGTAAATACATGCCACATGCTCAGCACTTGTGGCTAGTGGCTACCATAACGGACAATGAAAACACAGAGTACGTCTGTTACTGCAGATACTTCTACTGAATAGTGTTGCTTTTGAGCTACTCAGGAGGCCCCTAGGAGAATCCCTTCTGTATCCTTAGGTAGCGCAGGCAGAGAAAACTGAAATCAAAGACGAGCCTCACAGTGAGAAGTGCAAGGACAGATGGTCCAAATTGCAGGCATTGCTTGTGATTACCCTGCTTCTCACCTGGGCAATTCTTCATGGCTCCAAGATGAGCAGCATCAAGGATATATTTATTTAACACCAGTTAACTACCCTCCTAAATGATGCTGGAAAAGGCAGCACTTTATCGAGAAGATCACATGGCTTTTGTTTTATGTAGTGAATCACATTTATTGATATGCTTATGTTGAAACGACCTTATTTCCCAGGAATGATGCAAAACGTGTCCAGAAGATGACCTCCTAACACTTCCTCCACTGCTACTACCTGAGTGGAGCCACAGTCCTCTCTTGTCTGGATTACTGCAGGGGACTCCTAACTGGCTTCCCACTTTTGTCCTTGGTGTGCATCAGTTTCCTAGGGTTGCTATAACAAATTATCGCAAACTGAATTCCTTAAAACAACAGAACTTTATTCTCTCACAGTTTTGGAAGCCAGAATTCTGACATCAAGGCTGTTGGCAGGGTTGTTTCCTTCTCGAGGCTCTGCAGAGAACCCCCTCCATGCCTCTAGCCCAGCTTGGGTGGTGCCGGCCGTCCTTGGTGTTCCTTGGCTTGTGACTGCTCTCCCATCTGTCTTCACATGGCTCATTCACCTGTGTCTGCTTTCTCCATTTCAGTCTCTTATCAGGACACCTGTCCCTAGCCCAGGATGATCTCATCTTGAGATCTTTACCTTGATGACCTGCAAAGACTCTTATTTCAAATAAGGTCATACTTGGAGGTCCTGGGTGGTCATATCTTTTGGAGGATGCCATTCAACCCACTATGCTGCTCTACTCAATGCAGCAGCCACAGTGATCCTTCTAAGGGGAGTTAGATAATGTTACTCTGTGCAAAAAAATCAGAGTCCTAGATGGCCAAAACGGCCCTGTGTGACCTGGCTCTTATTTCTACATCCTTACCTTTTGCTACCCATTTGTAAAGAACAGTGGCTCTCACTAATAGATGGAGAAAGAAGCAAAAAGATTTGAGATGTATCTTGAGTTAGCATCAAGAAGGCTTGGTTACTGAATACATCCAAAAGGCCAAACTTGGAATGAGTTGCAAAGGGATAAAAGAGTTATAAATTCAGTTTGTACATGACACATCTGAGATGTCTTCGAGTAGGTTTATATGTAATTTTAGAAGCTCAGAAAGAAAACTGGGCTGAAGAGAGAAATTTGGAAGTTGCCAGCATATAAACAGCAACTAAAACCTTGGGAGAAGGAAAGAAGACATAGAACTAAGTCATTAAGGAGGCCAATATTCAAAGGTAGAGTAGGGGTAGGTGGGCCTGCAAAGATGACCCAGGAAAGAGACCAGACTATAGTGGGAAAGCCAGGAAAGTGTGACATTGGGAAAATAAGGAAGAAAAAAGGTATGGTTTCAAAGAAGGAGTATTTAACTATGTTAAGTAAATTTGGAGAAGGACAGTGACTCCAGGCCTTAGCAACATAGAGGGTGTGGGGGAACTTAGCTAGAACTGTTTCATTAGAATAATGGGAGCAGCGGCCGGGCGCAGTGGCTCACGCCTGTAATCCCAGCACTTTGGGAGGCTGAGGTGGATGGATCATGAGGTCAAGAGATCGAGACCATCCTGGTCAACATGGTGAAACCCCGTCTCTACTAAAAATACAAAAAATTAGCTGGGCATGGTGGCACGTGCCTGTAATCCCAGATACTCGGGAGACTGAGGCAGGAGAATTGCCTAATCCAGGAGGCGGAGGTTGCGGTGAGCCGAGATCATGCCATTGCACTCCAGCCTGGGTAACAAGAGTGAAACTCCGTCTCAAAAAAAAAAAAAAAAAAGAATAATGGGAGCAGCAACATAACTGTAGTAGTAGAGGCAAGACTCAAAGA